TGCACACACCTGAATGGGACAGCCCTGACGAGTCAAGGCGTTCCATTGAATCCAAAACGAGATTCCGTTTAGAAACGTGGAGGATTTTGACGTGAGCTGCCTGTATTTGCACAACGTGAATGTAATATGTCGGTCGGTTTTTTAACCAACAACCAATGGCTTCAGTTTAAACATTCCGACGAAATGCATACACTCACGCACACGCACAATGCACGCCACACTTCACCATGAAAAATATGAACTTTCACAGGAATCAGACGTAAGTTTAGAAGAAATACGGAAACGTCCTGCACTACCAATACTACACATTCCCGCAATCTATCCACTTTATACATCGATTACTTCGGAAAGCTACGATCGGCTGCAGATGGAACAATCTCTTATCCAAGCAAGGAGGGGAAATACTCGAATCAGAATTAGTGGCCTACTTGTTCTCGAGTTACTAGATGTCCCCGAAAAATGGACTCGAACTGAGCGAATCGCCAGATATTCTCGAATTCCGCACCTGATCAAAGCTGGGCACGGAACGAATGCCAAGGGTCTACATTCCCAGGAAAAGGGTCATACGATTGAACCCAGTACTTGCAGTTCTTTTTATTCCGAATTTTTTAGGGAGTTCAAGACATCAAGGTACACTACTCACTTCCTTGCCGGAACTTTGTACGACGAAGTAATGTGGTTTCCCGTTAGATCAAGAATTGAAGTGAACGTGCTACTCACACTACCCACGTCCCGGACCCAAACTGCAGCCATTTTCTGAAGACGAGCTTGAGCGAGAGACTAGGACTGAGCCTTAGCTTCATCCCTTTCAAGCAGATGGTTACCTACTCTCAAGCTTTGATTGAAGAAATTTGGGCAGGGTATCAAACAGGGCCCAGGAAGGGGAGCAGAGAACAGGGTTCGCTCGATCAGCACTAATCCTAAAACTAGCAAAGGTCAGACATGAAGCATCAGAACTTGTAAAGAAAAAAGTCTGCAGTAAGAAATTAGAAGGAAAATGGTCTGTACGGTCTTTAGGAGTTGAAACGAAGTGTTGGTGGACAACGTGAATAACTGCAGTACAGGAAATTGAAAAGAACTAATCATTTCAGAAACTTCAAATTCGCATTCCAGTGTGAACCAGTTCTTGGCAGTAAAAAAATGATTTTTCATTTCTTGAACAATTCCGTTGATGATGAAAAATCGAATTAAATCACTCTGCCATTCTGTGGTGGGGAAGGGCACCCCGATACATCCAAAAAACGTTACCGCACTATTTTTTCTATAATCTTATTCTATTGAAAGGGCAAGATTATAAAAAGAAGAAGTCGGAGAGGACATAATTTGTGCACTTTCTCATCTGACCACTGTAGAACAGAAAATGTTCTTCCTGGGAAACCAAAGGAATCGAGTGATAGACCATAGGGCTCACCTTATTCGGCGTGTTCGCCAGAAAAGCAGCCGCTGTAGCTGGACTCTGGGCTAGAGCCGCTGCTATAGCCCCCATGTTGCTGCCCATGTTACCACCAAACAGTTGCAGGTTTTGCATAGCCTGCATTTGCTCCAAAAGGGTGTTCATATTCGATGATAACCTGGAAAAATGCATATTTTAATGGCAACAAAGACCACTTTCTGGTATTTCCGACTACGATATTCACGAGGCTCACCCTTGCTGTTGAATTTGTTGCGGTAACAGTCCCGTGAACCAGTTTGGTAATCCTCCTCCACCGCCACTGGACGAGTTGTCCGATTGTGATGCAGGTGGCGTTGTCGCCTGCAAATTCGTTGGTTAATACACATTCTACTCTCCAGATAATATTCATAGAAGGAACGCTTTCCAAGATTTATAACGTCTAAAACTTTAAGGAGTGTATTTCACAAATATNTGCATAGCCTGCATTTGCTCCAAAAGGGTGTTCATATTCGATGATAACCTGGAAAAATGCATATTTTAATGGCAACAAAGACCACTTTCTGGTATTTCCAACTCCGATATTCACAAAGCTCACCCTTGCTGTTGAATTTGTTGCGGTAACAGTCCCGTGAACCAGTTTGGTAATCCTCCTCCACCGCCACTGGACGAGTTGTCCGATTGTGATGCGGGTGGCGTTGTCGCCTGTAAACTCGTTGGTTACTACACACTCTACTCTCCAGCCAATATTCATAGAAGGAACGTTTTCCAAGATTTATGACTTCTAAAACTTTAAGGAGTGTATTTCACAAATATAAACAATTTAAAGACCTTCGGAGAAGGTTCTGGTCCAGCATCCTGTGCCCCGCCTGTGATTGACGCCGATCCCGACGACGGTAGGCTTGACGGTGACGGACTTCCACCACCCATTCCCATTTGGGAAAGATAGAGGTTCCGCAGTGGATTGTTGCTGGACAAAGCAGACTGAAATCGGTTTGATACTGGAGAGTTATGGTAAAGAAGGAGTAGCCAACTGATTAACTTTATTTTTCACACTTCTTACTCCATCCGAAAGTCGGAAATGGAGTGAGGACCAAAATTCCTAGCCAAAAAAATCTGTATGAATCTATATGTTAATCTTACCGCCCTCACCTGATCCAATCCAACCATCAACTGTTGGATGTCCATACTTGAAGGGACATCACCACCTCCACCACCACGACTCAACGCTGACAGATCAACACCCGATTGCGACGATAGCATTAGATTTGACGGTCCGTGTTTTGCAGCACGATGTGTGGCCAGGTAGTATTTGTTGCAGAACTCCTTCTGAAAAAAAATCCTTTTAATAGTGAGTCCAACTGTCTCCGAGACCAACAGGTAGGGCAAAGTCCTGAAACAATTTTTGCAAGACAGGAACAAGGACAAGAAGTTCATGAAAACGAAGGCAATGGACCCGGAGCGCATTAAATAAAAACCACTTAAATGAATAGCTACATATTTTTTTATCAAAGCATCCGATAAGCAAGAATGGACAACAAATTAGCTACAAGTCAATTTCTTTGAATGCAAATGTCATAGAGCGGTGACATTCATGAAAGCCATTACATTTTGGTTACAGGGGATTACGGTACGGGAAAGCTCCAAGCACACTTGCAAGCGGGAACAGAAAGGTTCATGAACATGAGGAGAAGGGGGTTCTCTAGAAGAACAACACAGACAGAGACCATCTAGTGTCCTTTCGTACCAAAGACCACCCGCACGAATGTTTAGAAACGGCCTACTCAGATAGGAAAGCAGAAGCAACCGAAAGAGTACGGTGAACAGCACGCGGAAACTCGTCCAACTACGAACAACAACCAGCAAAAAACTATTTACAACACATTTGATCTGGGGGCTGTTGTGGCTAAAATGTTACAATGACAATCGTCCTACTCATCCATTCAAGTTGTACGAGGTGTTAGATCCGAAGGAGGAGCAGCAGTAGGAGCAGCAGTAGCAGTGGCAGCAATAGCGTTCGCCTCTTCTTCTTCGTTGAGTAATAATAAACATCAAAATGGATTCGAGTTTCGAATGGAACATATGTCGTGTTGGCTGGCCTCCGATCATCGTATAGAGTCATGCATCATGGGCCAAAGAGAACACAAACGTCGTGGAGTGCCCGTGAGATGGTCAGAGACAAATAAACAAGCACAGGTAATGGGTGTGTGTATGTGTGTATGCTGGCAGCCGTTTGTAGGACGCTCGGATGTTCTCATGGGCGTCGTAACGACGCGATCATCGTGCATATCATGACTTTCACGATAATAGAGTAAGAGTTATGAGATCACCAAAAGGGCACTTTCACTATGGCTGATCGCTGAGTATAAACGCCAATTCTATTAGGATCGCTAACCAAACAAACAAGCTCTATCTAACCTTTCTACCTTTCATTCCCTGTAGGCTACGACAAGGCTGTAATCTTCTGAAGGTATAAACGGTGAGTGGGCCCCTTAAACATTGCCTGAAGTGTCCAACTAAATAACTAGGTGGTTCCAACTAAACCAAAAATGGGGCAAAACACTTCTGACTGACATCAATTTTCAGCGAAAAAATCCAAAATTGTGGTACACCCTCAAGGATATGATCTCACTGAGCTGCCTGAACTTTCACTGATCTCCATCCTCCTACTCCTTTAATTAATCTAGTAATCGCTATATATCCATTCAGTATGAAACCTACTTCGCTAAATCGTAAGACAACCCGAATTCTGTAAGGAATTTATCGGAAAATGTGAAAAAAATGAATTACTTTTCACATAATTCATTACCAAAAAGCAAATCAGCAAGTCCAAGGCCAAACCCATTGTCATCAAACTTTCAGAGTATCCCAGTTCACGACCACAGGCAGTGGCATGTCGATTATTTAGAAACTATGGGAATTTAACCATCACCGCGACAAAATGTTCGGACGGGACCTGGGGAACTCGTCTAGCTCTACGTCAATACGACCCATGTGGACGTAATTTCACAGCACTACGGTAAGTTCCCATCCCAACCCTTTTCGAATTCTTAATTATCGAAATTAACATCCCAAAATCGACACTCTTTCATGGTAAAACTGAATAGTCAAATTAAGTAACTATTGAAAGGTATGTTTCTCACATGATAAGCCTACTTTATTAGTTTTGAACTCTTAATACAGTAATTTAGGTTTTCGGCATTAATTGAGGAAATATTTCTCAAAAATCTAGACTATTATTCAATTTCAATAAAATACTGCTGTTCCCAAGTATAAAGTTCAAGGTGTCGAACTTCGAAAACAAAGTCAGCAAACATTGATATTTTGTAAATAGTTCTCAAAAAAAAAACTTTTTTGCGAAAGGTGACTACAGATTCTGAGTCATGGACAAGTGATNTTGTAATGCACTAATTAGTTGGAACTTTACAAACTTTTTAATGAGCCATGAAATCATTAAACTGACTAATTAACAATTTGAATAAGTGGAAATATTTCCAAAATTCAATGAATAATGCTCCTTTTCACTTTGTACTTTGCTCAGAGAAAGTTCAAAGATATTTGTTGACATCAAACTTCTAATAGCAATAACAGTACCATTGTTCAAATTCAAATTTAATTTTAATCAAATCAACTAGTTTCATTCAAAGGAAAACATATTGAAATGATATTAAACTATTAGCAAGTGGTTCTAGGAAGGACCTGATTCAATTCAATTGTAATAAACAGATTTTATGGCCCAATTCAATGAATTACAAGCTATATCAAATCTGCTTGGCTGGGCTTAGAGAAAAGAGGATTGTGAAAGGATTCGCCCAACGATTGAAGAATTTTCAAGACGAATATTCAAAATGAATCAAACATGACTAAGCAAGCCTTACAGCTGCTGGCTAGCCAGCCGGGCTATATTGTCGAGAGCTAATCGGCCAGCAAACGTTCACAGAGTCAGAGCTCTCTGTGTCTAATCGTTTTATTCGCAGTTGCAAACTGAAGGCACTCAAATTCTCGGGATGTAACAAGGTGGGAAAAACTCTGAGGAAATCTTTCCTACCACGCAATTTCTAGCCGTTTCCTCCCCTCGAAACCCACAGCAACCCCAAAGAAAAAACCCTGCCCGTTCGCTGCTAGCCACATCACATTCATACTGAAGATTAATTGAGACAAGCTTTCAAGTTTATTCGAAAATTCCTTGGTTTGCAGCAAAAAGATTTTCAGAACTTTCAGAACGGAGCTCTTCGGGCCATCCCTCCAGCCTGATCTTAGCAGAGCTGTTACTTACGTAGCTGGAGCAGTACCTTTAGAACGAGGGATAAAACCCGTCTGAACTTTACCTGAAGTGGGTAAAAACGTCAGATCAGCAACTAAGAGGAGTATTTTGTGGAATTTTATCGTAGAAAGCTAAGCTGGCGGGAGGGAAAAAGCTGCAGCAGAACGACGATAAGCGACTACATATTCATTATAACGGTTTTTCTTAATGCATATGGCATGTTGAAGGCATTCACATTCAAATGTCTTCAATAACGAAGGATTAAAGAAACTGAAAAGCGTGTAATGGCATCGCGGATCATCCCTC